AAAGTAAAAAGTGTGCGACAAAGTAAAAAGTGTGCGACAAAGTAAAAAGTGTGCGCCAAAGTAAAAAAGTGTGTGCCAAAGTAAGTAAATACAGCAATTAGCAGCTTTATGTACTATAATCAGTGCAAGGAAGTCTACTTTATCGGGTTACTGCAGAAAAAAGCATAATAAGTATACATACGTTTTTTATAGCAAAAGATAGTAGATTTTGGCACAGCAGTTTGTTTACCTATTCAATAGAAACGCTGATTTATGTTGATACTTGTAGCAACAAATAATAATTGCTTCATAGATAGTACAGTATCATTGTTTAATGTTTTAAGAAAATACTAATTTCAAATAAAACATACCACTAAAATAATGCATCACTCCAGGATTGTAGAAGCTATATCCACGTTATCAACAAAAAGCGGCTTATTGTGATGAGAAATTTAGTTTAACCTTACAAAAACGTTCTCAGAGACTGCGTCCACTTAAAATATGCAAACCACCAGATTCAAGGCAAACAAAAGAACGTGCAGCTATTGTTGTGAAGCTTTCTAATCGTGTAAGTCAAATTTGCTTTAGAATTGTTTATCGATAGTTTATCGAGTTTTTTTTGTATTCTTTGAACTAACACTTGTTTCCAGTACAAAATTATATTTATATTATGGACGATAAAAATATATAGTTCTCAAAAACAAACCATCACGTTGATAAATAAATTATGTTATAAATTAAATTATACGAGAAAAGGGCATATGAAATTTATTTACATAACTGTAACCTTCCAAATTGAAGTGAGCTAAGTATCAGAAGAGCTTAAAGAAATATTAATCTGGTACAAAGCTTTTAAGTACATTGGGAGGAACTCAAAGGTATTAAATTACACGTTTCAGATAGATTAGTTTCAATTGCATTTCTACAAACGCATTTACTTTTCTTCCAATCTGGTACCACTGAACCTTCAACTGTGACTGTTCAATAGCTGTTTTTGTATTACTTTATATATTAAACGTTATTCAACAATTGTTTTGTGACTGAAGTCTAGTTATCAATGTATTTCACTGGATAATAAATAGTAGAGGATTCTTCCTGAGAAACTGCGTTAGTGATGACTTTCTCAAGACAAGTCTTTAACTTATAATTTTCTTTTTTCTTTTTCTTACAATAGTCCACTTCAAAGAGAGAAGCATTGAAATTGAATCTAAACGTAAAAATTTGTTTGAATTATTATAATCATAAAACATTTTAAAGAGGACACAAATTTAAGAACAATTGATTTTAGATATATATCAGTAAAGAATTATATTAAACAATCACTATATGTGCTCGGTCAGGCTTTGAACAAAAGATACTTATGTAAAAAGCTAATGTGAATAATAATAATAATAATAATTGTCATTACTATTACTGTATTATTAAAATTATTTTTCTCTGCTGTGTGAGGTTATGTTCGATTAACCAAACGACTTCAGCTTCAGGTTTGTCTTTTTTTCTTTCGGCCGGTTCTGCCAGTCTGCTGTGCAAACATACAGTTCAAACATGGTCATAAACGAAACACAAAGAGGACCAAATATATAAGCAATCAGATAGTATTCCGTAGATTAAAAAGCAATTACTTATGTCATTACATTTAGTTTTTTTTAGTGTGCTGCCAATTACTTTGTTTCAAGTTAAAGTGCCTGCCATAAACCACTGTAGAAATAGTATATTTAGAAATCTTTGTTCTAGAAAAAAAAAACAAAGAAAAAATGTAAACCGTTTGTTTGTTAGCCTTATGGATCAATTGGCCCTCGCCGACAAGTTTTTTTAACTTATCGAGGCCAAGCTGTTGTAATTTCTATAATAAATATATTTGAAATTGAACGTGTATTAAATATCTAAACTAGAAATATGCTGCAAGAAAAGCCATTGTACATCTGAAAGTACATTATGGATGGCTGCGCTATCTAACGACGCCGTTAAAGCCTGTATTTAGTCATCCATAACTGCTTTACGAGTAGCGTTTAGTGAGTGGATAAAACTACTCTCAATGCCAACAATATGAACACGTTGTATAACAATGGTGGCTTAGGGAAAAATAATTGTTACAAAATTCATTATTCAAAGCTACACTATCACATTTTACAGTTGTTTCAGAATTTATGAAATTACAATAACAGCTGTTTTTAATGGAGCTTGTTTTTTAGTAAAAATGGGGGAGAGAAACTATCTCTTTATGTGTTCTGTCTAATTTGTTTCCCACATATTAATAAGCGTACTGTTACAAAATGGCAACATTATTCAAAGCTACACTATCACATATAACAGTTGTTTCAGCGTTTATGAAATTACAATAACAGCTGTTTTTAATGGAGCTTGTTTTTTAGTAAAAATGGGGGGGAGAAACTATCTCTTTATGTGTTCTGTCTAATTTGTTTCCCACATAAGCGCCGAAGGCACACACACACAAAGGCCATTATTGGTTGGCGGATCTGAATCTGAGCTCTTAGAACAGAGGTTTCGCGTTTACCCCATTACATTAAACATCTTTCCGCTTGGATATTAAACAGTTAATTGTTTTTTCAACTATGATTCAATGACATGTCATTATCATTTACCCAAATGATTTTAAATCCAATATTTGTAAAGAATGTGTGTAACCTCTTAAAATACGCTTAGTATTATTTCATAAATTTATCTTTTTAATCACAAGATTGAAACGCAATGTAATAGAGTCTCATGGATGTTACTATATGTAGCAAATGGGATTTAGTAATCGAATTGATAAGAACTTCGCAGGACTCCCCTGGGTTCATAGCCAATTGGATACAAGAGCCTACGGCTTGCGTGTATATGTCCCTCACCACATTCCCTTATTAAATATTTAATAATCGGGTTAATAACACGTGTACTTTTTAATTTATTACAGTTTAACTTTTCAATTAACCTTGATTATTTTTAAATTCAAACTGTCACCTAAAACTCTGTACAACAATAGTTCATTTATTTGTATCAATTAGCACAACATTCATAATTAATTTTATATACACATTATTTTCCTTTATCGAGTTCTTTTGGCTCTTCTACCTGACCGATTTTCTTTATAGAGGTCTCAAATCGAAGGTATCCACGCACAGATTTCACATCAATCACCATCATTACTCGGCCAAAAACATAAATGAGATCAATTCTTACTTCAATTGAAGATGTATTTCACAAGTAATAATTATAATAATCCTATATATTTTGGTCTAAGAACCTTCAGTGAAATACCGGCTTTCATTTAAGCTATTAGTTATCCAAATCGGACGAGTTTCAAGCAAACACAAGGTGAACAACCAACATAAAAACTTTTTTCATAAGGGGTTTCTTTGATTAAAAATCAATAGCTCTAGTATTGTTTATGTTTTTTTTTTTATATGTTTGAGACTGACGAATATGTTATTTATTTCATCGGTGCGGAGCAGCATAGGCCCTCTAGTACAAATAAATGAACTTTCATCTGATTTAACAAATTTATAAATTCCATAAAAAAAATTCTAGAAATTTCTTCCCTGGAATTTAAGTTGTACCTGTTGTACACTATGAACAATTTTGGGGGTTTATGGCCGTTTCAAACAATTTTCAGTGTGTAGGTTTCTGTGCTCCTCTTGTCCATAAACCTATAGTCTTGAATTTTGAGAGGGGTTCTGATGGTTATATTACGCCTATCAACCACCATTGTAAGATGAATTTTAGACATACACCAATTGTCAATCAACAATTATTCTTAGTCCAACACAGTATGCATGATGCATGATTATAAAAACACAGAGGTTGATATAATATTTATGAATTATTGTTCGAAACTGCTTTCAGTGTACTTTCGATAAAGCTTAGTACTACATCCACGTATTTATAGAAAATATACACTTTATTAGAGCCCATTTAATTAGGTTTATGTTCTTAGTTTAATGTATTAATGTGAAGTTCTACCGTTTACAAATTGTAATGCGGATTTCTGAGTAGCTTACGAATTGTGGCAAGTACCAATACTAAACCCCTAGTCAAGTTACTGTCAAGGCTTGAAGGGAATAGATGTCATTTGTAACTGTGTCATCAACCTAAGTGTCAAATGTCAAATGTGGATACACCGTTTCATAACATTGGCACGGAAGGGATTAAATAAAAAAAAACCTTTCACATATCAGAACTATTTTATCAGTGATGTAGCTTGTAAAGGCGTGTCAATAAAAACGTGTTGTAAAATTGGCGTATTGTAAAAGCGTAATGATCGGTTTACAAATTATGTGAAACAGAGGGCTACAACATGGAATTTCTTTGATAATGGTTAAGCTCTTTTAATATATTCTATGAAAAATTGAATAATTTGAGAAAACATACAGTATATTTGCTAAAGGCTTTCCTTAATAGTTTTTTAAACCATTTCTCCGTATTACATTGTTTACAGATTGCTTATTTCAACGGATTATATTTAACATGCTCCGTATATACATTACATATATTCTATTTCAAATACACTCTTTACATCCCGAATATTGCAATAGGCATTATTAAGAAAAAAACCACCATGAGTATATGAACCATGATAAGCTTAAACAACCAATCACATGGCTATCGTATGTGATGATTAAAGTAAATTAAACTTAATGGAAGTTGTATGAAAGAACCTTCATCAATAATGATTGTTGGTTTCATTACAATAGACTAGTATACCAACACTATCTTATAATTTTTTGAGCAAAATTAAATACTGCTAAGAATTAGAAAATAATTCTACACGATCATTAACAACTCTTAAAAAGAATATTTGTCATCAATTATATTAAATGACAAATAATGGATGAAATTTTATAGTGAAAATACAGTTACGTCTGTAACTAGACTAATCTCTCTCTCACTCTCTATTGTTAGAAAAATATTTTTCGGTAAAAAAACTTGTTCTTATTATAGACAATTGATTCCATGCAAATTAGTTAACATTACTATAACACAGCAATATTGTATAAGGCTGTCAAACAGCTATTGTCTCTTACCGGCAAATGTGAACAATATGTTAGCAGAGGTACGATCAGCTGTGGGGGTGAGCGGAACGGCGGGAACACTACCGACTGGCGGGAGAACTGCGATGGTGGCGCGGCCAGCAGCACAACACAACTAATGCGTGGGCGACTGAATATCCCTGCCTTCCCTGAGGAATCGATCCCTATTGCGCAGCTCTCTCCAGAAACTGACCTGGGTAAATGACGGGTTTCTGGAATTTATTTTGGGAAGCGTTTAAGGTAAAGTTTCTGGGGTTGGCAAAGTTGGGTTGGTATCAAAGGCAGTGCTGCAAACTATCTTGGGTTATTTCTCCTATAATTACTTGCAATAACGTTTTGGTTCATGGTTTGCATTTGTTAATGTGTAGCCTATTAATAGTGTTTGCATATGATAAACAGTGACTATAACAAATTATTTGTAACTATAGAGATACAAATAATTACGATTTTGCGTACTTATACTAACTTTGAAACGTATCGTCGTAACGACTAGACTACATTAAGGTAAGACAGGCGTCAAAATTTGTTTTTTACAAATTTTTTTTTATTGTTTATTTTTGTAGACCTGTTTTTTTTTTGTTTCCATAGATACCAAAAACAATATAAAAATAATAATGTATCTATGTTTTATAAGAGTTTTTCTGAAACTTTGCAAGCTCCGTTTTGTCAATATTCATAACTCGTCTTTTTTAAGACAGGCGTTAAAATTTTTTTTTACAAAATTTTGTTATTGTTTATTTTTGTAGACCTGTTTTTTTTTTTGTTTCCATAGATACTAAAAACAATATAAAAATAATAATATATCTATGTTTTATTAGAGCTTTTCTGAAACTTTACAAACTCCGTTTTGTCAATATTCACAACTCGTCTTTTTTAGTTTTTCGCCATTTTCCGAAAGTTGAGGTTTTTAACACTTCGGTACACTTTTTGGCAATATTTATGAACCAATTCGAACAATTTTTTTTAATTTGTTCCTTGTAATAATTTATATAGTAATAGGAACCAGTTTTTGTGTTGTTCAAAAAGCCTTTTTTATATGACCTTTTATGTGTAGTAAAAAAAACAATAAACAACAATAATTCATAAAAATGTTATTATTCAACAAAATTAACTTTTGGTTCCTATTATTGCTCTTTACTTGGCTAGAATAAGCCCAGAAAAAATCAGCTACATATGTTAATATTTGTAAAAGTTATGTGTACCTAAAATATATGAATTTAACATGGTCGAGATAGGGACGCCCGTCTTACCTTAACGACAGTTACACCATCAAATTACTTCGTTAAAGAGCTTTATGTTTGACCATTTTAACTAAGCATTTGCAACAATAAGCTTAACAAGGTGGATGGATAAAGATGTAGCCATTCCACTCCAATACCTTATAGCTCATACAACATTAGACTAGCATTTTCTTCTGTACCTGCACCACTTAGCAAGCTAATCAAACTATCCAATCAAACAACTATTAATTGCAGCTGGTCGATATTTATGCAAGGTGGAATGAAGTTAGTGTTTAAAATAAATATGTGTAAAACTAATAAGTATTGATGGCAGAATGGCGCCAGTCTATGTTTCCATCCTACACTCACAGGTATGGAACAACAGACAAATTAAGATTTTTCCAAATATTTGCATTTGCTTAGAAAACAATGCCATGAGGGCACTATTTTTTTTTTACTTCAAAATTTACTGTTATTTTCAAAATTCTAATTACAATAACAATAGCACAGAGTCAATAGATAACACATCTATGAAAGCAATTCTGAAACTGAAGTTTAAATATGTGAATTTTGATAAACATTCAATAAATCCTACGTGAGTTTTTCTATGCTACACTTAGAGAGTGTCAAATATTGTTATAATCTTCTAAAATTAATAACCTTTAAAATGATGTACAAAAACCTACTGTTTCTTTGATTTGTTATTATAAAACTCAAGGCTTTCTCTTAAAAACACGGAACGGCTAAAATTGCATTTCCTGTAAAAAACCTGTACTTACTTAAATAATATAGTAATAGCTACATTAAAATAATGTTTAAAAGGGTCTTATTGTATTTTTTTTATTCTTAATTAATAGCCTTATGGACCTTTTGTATGTGATAAAAGTTTACATTAGTGATTATTTTATTCGTTATTGAGAAAATTAAAAATCGATTATGGTATAGTTACAAGTGAAAAACACATCGAAAAACCAGTTCTTAAAAATACTACTTAAGAAAATCCCACTCAAAGAGGTGCTACTTAAGGAGTAAAAAAACTACTATTCACCCATAGCTCTCTAACCACAATGATCTGCCTTGAGAAGTTGATTGATTGAGGTCCCGTTTGCCCCTATTAGAACAGCCTCAAAGAAGTTTATGGAAGACAAATCTATCATAAGGGTAGTTAGATTTAATAATGCTATTATTTCTATGATCAAAATAGCTTCTTGATTTCCAACCCAAATCCAAAATATCTGGAATGAAACTTCCCCAAAACCAAATCAGAGAATTTACTCTCAAATGTCAAACTTTTATTTTATAGCATTATTAATTGATCAAAGTCCTCGGGTTCAAGAAGCAATCTCTACGTTTGTGCTTTAAACTATGAACCAGAGAGTCTTAAATATTTATCTGAGGAAAAGTATGTGCATTACGTACACAGGACGAAGCTCTATAACGGAATAGTAGTTTACGCAACGATTGCGTTAAGTTAGTCTTTACGACACGAGTAGAAAATTTAAGGCACGAGCCTTGCGAGTGCCTTAAAAACTTCTACGAGTGTCGTAAAGACTATTAACGCGATTTGCTTACACTACTTTACCTACGACAGTTTTTTAATTACTAACAATCTGGTTTTTAATTACTAAAAATAATTACTCATTACTTCTTAGAGAGGTTATGTTTTCGTTTATTGTCAGTGTCAATGAAACGCCTGTTGTGAAATGCCAATGAAAAAAGTTATGCAACGACTTATTGTATAATCAGCTGATTTCCTGTAATTACGTGTTTGTAAAACTTCGTTAAAAAATACGTTACCTTTTTCAGGGAATGTGTTCTGCTAGCAGCATTCTTACCATAAATTCTGCATCAGGTACAATTAGGAAAATTTTGCATTTTGTTTTTGACAACTGAATGATTATAGTGAAACAGTTAATTTACAGTTAGATCTCAGCATCGAATATTATAGAATATTATAAACAGTTTGTTCTCTCATTTCCATCTCGTCAACTTCACTTTCACTAACTGAAATTTTTTAATCAGTTTAATCTACCTTCCTTTAACTTCCACAAACTTAGGTTAAGAATACGCGAGTATCAACAGGAACAAGTCAGATCAACAATTAAATTGGTCAACTAATCAACTGATCAGCTGATCAGCTGATTAGTTGACGTTCAAAGCATTAAAATTTTAATTCTTTTACATTTAAACTATTATTAATTTTGTTTTTCCTAAAGATTTAATGTTTTTATTTGATGATATCACACTTTATCTTTTATCTTATCTTTTAAGAATTTTGTATTTACAATCGTTACTGTCTACGTGAGCTGTACGGTTTATAGTTGTAACACGTTTCTAACTATTACTGGTAATTATATGAGTACGCGGTTAAGTCATATTTATGTGGCCAATATAATTGAATTTACCTTATGGTTGTCTTTATGTGTGGACTCTCTTGATTAGTTGTATCAGTGATTATACGAGTATAAGTGTAGGCCTAGAATAGCAGCTAAAACATTAAAAATGTGTGCAGTAGGTAATCAACAAGCCGAGGCTAATTTATATAGCTAAATTGGCTAGAGCACAAAAACAAGCCTTCTCTCTCATCTATGTGTAATCAGTCCACGATGACATGCATTTAATCCAAATCTCATTTGTTGACTAAACTGATTGACGTTTAGCTCACGTTCGACTGATTAGTTCTATAAAATAAACAGATAATTTTTATTTAACTCAAATTATCATTATAGTTTTAAAAAAATGCCTCCCAGAATTAATTTCAGATCCCCACATGAAACAATGTAACTTAAATACGTCACGTTTAGCTAATTTTGTTCAAATCAAATCAAATTTTTTCAAGCAAAAAAGTAAACAAATGAAAATGTATGCACCTAATATATATAAAAAAAATAGAATAGTTGTATAGATTTTCAGCTGAAGACAGTCAAACATAAAATTAATTCAGTTTGTGTGATAACCCCTTTTTCGTAAAATATATTAATCTTAAATCTTAAAAAGACATGGGCCACAATCGTTTAGAACGTAATGAGGAAATTCAGAACTCTGAGTGAGTTGTTAAAAGTTAAGCTATCAATGATCATAAATACTTTTTACAGTTGTGTTGTTATGCTCAGTAATACATGTTTCGAAAACTCCACATCCAGTATTGTTACAAGGTTCTACGCCATGTTTAAAATTAAAAAAATATGAAACCTTTTAGATTTTTTGTTTTACTAAGTCTTTTTTTTAACTTTTGACCTTAAAAAGCACACGGTTGTAAAGAAAATAAATGTTCTGTCTGGGCGGTCGAACTTAGCATAGAGAATGATACGGCACTGTTCAATTTTATGAAAATATATATATAAAGACCCTGGAGAGGTGTGTAACAATCCAAATATGCACCTTCCACATATGAGAGATTGTATAAGTACACTATAGGAGAGTTAATATAAACTTGAATGCAAAGGTGAGTTAGCTTAGTGCATATTAAACAATGGAACACCGAAAGAGTGTTTTGTGTTTGTTCTGCGTCACAGCTCATAACACCAATACCAACTTTAGCTGCCGGAAATAGAAAGTTCTGACATCCTCAGCCGGGTAATCACCAAGAGCAAAGCTGAACAGGTTCAATTTCCTATTTTGAATAACTTTTGGCTTGTCTATTATATTATTAATTGGAAGCATATGTTAATATTGTACTGTACTGAACAATGTAATGTAGACTTAAGAAATTAATTTTAGTACATAGTGTACAATCAGTAAAGCAACGGACTACGGAAACATAACAGCGATGTCGTTCACATTTCGATGCAAAAACTAAATCCTATACGTACTGATTGAACACATACTATTTCCTTTTATCTGCACTCACATGGCTGAAGCCTACGCAAGAAAGAATAAGATGT